TTTCCTCCACGGAAGCTAAAAGAACATGAATTTGTACATACCGTGTTTGTTTTTCTCCCTTCCTGTTTTATAGTTAAGATGATTTCATTTTTCATCTCATGTTATTCAGTTAATTTATATTACTGTAGGGATTCAACTATTGAATTTTCAAATTATGGCAAATTACATATTTAATCACATAACTATAATTGTTTTCAATTTTGGTCATTCAACTATTATTTTAGAAAAAAAATTTTGGTCATTCAACTATTTTTAGAAAAAAATCAACAGTAACGCTACATTTTGATTTTATTTTGATCACTAGTTGATAAAAATGTAAGAAAACTGTTGGCGTGACATTTTTTCAATGATAACGTGACATTACATTATGTTGACACTTTAGTATTATCGTTAATTTTATAACGGTGTATGTCCAATATGAAACCAAAATATAATGTTAACAATAATTTTGAAAAAACAAATAATTGGGTGACTAAAACGGAACTAAAGTGATAGTTGGATGACTAAAGGCATAGTTTACACTTAAAATTATTATGAGATATATATTGATTATAGTATGAAACTTAATTGTATGTGAATCGAATTATTCATTCAAGTACATTGCTCACTTAATATTTTCAATTATATATATATATATATATATATTGTTCAAATTGATATTTACCATATAGGTTATATAATGCTATATAATAGACATTAAAAATATGATCTATTTCTTAAACTAAACTGTCAAGTAAAATAATTAAATTATCAAAGAAAAATAAAATACGAAATCATGAACAAAGTCGAAGGTACTTGTATTATATTTTTTGTAAAATATGTTTTAAATCGAATTCAGAATTCAATGTATTATACATTTAAAGATTTGGATTTAGTAAATAAATATCTTATATCCAACCAAATGAATATGTGTTAATACCATATGCTATTTACCGCGTTTGGTCCAGCATATGACTTAACGCTAAATGGGCTTTGAAGAAGACAAAAGAGGACGATGGGCGGCTCATCGGCCGCAAATCAAATTCACAACATGAACAAAGTGTAGCAGCTTTTGCAAACAAATCCAAAATGTTTTCATTTATACCTTCACATCGGATGATGCTGTTTCAACCAAGGAACATGAATATAAACATCTCGAGAAAAAAGAGAGGATTTAACCCATTCATTTTCCATGGAGTACAAAGTCATTAGAGTTTGGTGCCCACTGGGCGTCCTTCTATAAAGCTATTAATGACCCACTAAATTATGATATTTATTCATCCTTATCAAATAACATGAACCCTCCCACTTCATTTTCAAAGCACATCATGTGATTCAACTCTTTGATCAATGATTACAAATAACAATTTTGCTTGCTTTGCAATTGGCCCGAGGCAGCAATTGGGTCAAGACTCCAAGTGACGTTGTTGTTCTGTAAAAAACTTTTTTGGAGGATATCTAATCTAACCACTTTGTATTCTATCAAATGTTATCCAACAACTCTACTGGCTAAATGGAATCCCAACTTCACTTAATTAATTTATATAATGTCCTAATCCACAAGTTTATTTTTAAAATTAGACTTCCAGTAATTAAGACATAACCATGTTGGCACCGGAGAATGATATCCTTCTTTGTAAGAAATTGAGCTCAGCTTTTCCACCATTTTATTATGTTCTGAAACCGATATAAAAAACCAAGTCCAGAGGGAGCAAATAAAATATGCCGCTTTCAACCGTTGGATGATTCAGCAGTTGTAATCTAAAGGCAGACAGCTGGATGGCTTCCTTTATCTCTCGTCATGTCAGAGCTCTCCAACTTAATATCCGATCACATTATTTTCTCATAGTTTATTGTAGGAGCTGGAATCCAACTTGTCTATTGCCTTAAATCTCTCTCTCTCTCTCTCTCTCTCTCTCTCTCGTGTGTGTGTATATATATATAAACACATATATATAAACACCAAGTTGGAAGGAGCTCTCACGGTAATAAAGTCTACAAAGAGGAAAACTAAACTTCAATGCTGTTTATATATCCAGTAATTTGTAAGAAAAAGGCCCACTCCATGGTCGAATATTGAGTGAAGTGAAAGCATTCTTCCATCCCTACTAATAAATAAAAAAATCCTGAATTTTTCTATATTTGAATTGTCTTCCCCCCCCCCCACAAATAAAGTTGTCCTTTTAATAGTTTATAATAATGATTAGTTTTTTTGAATAAGTAAGAAATATGATCGAAATACAAATAAATTTTAAAAATTATGATATACCAAATTATATCGATCTGTCATCTTAAATAATATTTAAAATATATAAATCAATCATTAAAAATAAAATAAAATCATTTAATAAATAATTAAATTAAATAATTCGAAAAAAATGATAAATATAAACGGATACTACTAACGATGCAGCTGCCTAATAGTCAAAAGCCAACATTAAAATTGTTAGATTAAAGGGCCGGTTTCTATAGTTGTTATTTTAGAGAGAGCAATAAGCCAATAAAGAAGCACGTGCGTGGTGCTGATAATTGTTTAGGGTAGGACCGAAACAGAAGTGTCTCAAACGCGCCGTTCATTTTCCATGTAACTACAAGTAGGGGCGTAAATGAGAAGAGATAGATCGTGAGTAATTCAAGATCGATTCGGTCAATATTCTATAAATACTCAGATCGAATGGACTCGACTCGAGCTCGACTTGAATTCTAAACGAGCCGAAACGAACTACTTAATACTTAACTTGAAAAGCTCGTGAGCAACTTGAAAAGCTCGTGAGCAACTTGAAAATATAATATATTAAGATCTTTTTTTTTAATTATTAATAATATTAACATTTATGTGTTGATTTAAAAAAAATACAGTAAGATTTTCATGTATTTAAGGTTCAGGTTCGAGTTTGAGTTTGAAGCTTCAATCTAGTTAACTTTAAGATTTTTTTTTTATTTCGAGCATTTTTGAACTGCTCACGAGCTTCTATTCAGGATTTCGAGTTCAATTTGAACTTAAAAATTTTAAACTCGCGAGTTTTCGAATCGAGTCGAGCTGTATATCAAATTTTCGAGTCGAGTTCAACGATACTCGGCTCGCTTACTCTATAAGACAAATCGAGGCAAATGCCGTCTGAGGGCCCCTTTTCCATGTGGCTAATACCGAAAATGACAACGTCCACCTTCACTTGTTGTTTCCTATAATAATAATAATCATAATTTACTCATCAAGCAAAAGAGATTTCCCCGTATAAATACGTGTTGACCATGTGAGTACGTATTAATACTTCATTATATTTTTTATGCATGCCAAGTTGTGCACGATATGTGGTGCATATTTTCAATGCTTTTATTTTATAAGTATGATTTGCTTCAACAGTTAATCTATATTGCAAATGGTCAGTATTTTAAGAAATAAATGTTATATAGTCAATTTTCTAAATGCACATAAAATATCATTGTGTCACATACACGTGACATTCACATTGTTCACGGATAGATTTGAACCATTTATAAAACTTATTTATATATTATTTAATAGTTTTAACTAATTAAAATGTAATTTTTAAATCTTAAAACGTACCACCTAAAGTGAATTATATATTGACTATTTAGACGAGGATTAAGTACTACCAATGACTTCGTTCTCTTAATTTATAATGTATAAAATATTATTAAATTATTAAATAATATAATATTTGAAGGGAGCACATAAAATTAGATTAAGGATACATCTGCCACATATTAGCTGTCCATCAAATTAATGTATATCATCGAACCAAAATATGGAACATCTTATCGCCAATAGTGGGACCCAGTATCCTACGGTAGATTGACGTGTAGGGCTAACTGGCATTAATACTAATTTAATAAATTTATAATCGGACCATCAAAGTACCTTTTTTTCTAATGAGTACTCGCAATCGTAGAAATTTACGACGAATCAAAGTTTTAAGCGTACGGCGTCGTGTAGGTTTAATTTTGGTTTAAAAAACTCCATGGTCCTTATATTATTTTAAAGTTTAAAGATTAGTAATTATGCTAATATATTTTTTGATTAAATCATTGTGCTTATATAAATATCATATTTAATACAAATATAATTTTAATTATACTTTGTGAATTAATATAAATATATTTTAATTTTTATTATGTATGGCATATTTAATCTAATGTCCTTTAGGGTACTTTTCTATTTTTATCGTACCATAATCATCGGATTTAAATTTAAACACATAATTCACTACTGATTTTAAACTCACCGTTACAATATTAATCTCACAGTTACAATAACTAATCTCATCATAATTAATATATTTGAATTTAAACATATAATTTATCATTAATTTTAAATTTACTATTGCAATATTAAATCTCACTATCATAATAACTAATTTTACCGTAATAACTCTTTTTAATCTCATTAGAATTAATTACACTGCCCATCCAAAAAATATTTAAATACTAAGTTATTATAAAATAAAAACATCTAATAAATTTACATATTAAATAATTAGTCATCTAATTTAAAAATACAAAACAAATAGATTGATATAAAAATTATTATTTTAAGGATAATTTTATCTAAAATAACATAAATTGATAAATATTATTTTTATTTGGTGGTAATGAACAAATTAAATATAATTATATTTTTTAAAAATTATTTTCCTGATAATAATATACTTTTTTGTGGATGAACGCACACGAAATGATATAAGTCAAAAATAAAAAATTAATCTAAAATCCCTTTAAAATCACAAAAATTTAAATTAATATAATAAAAAATATATTTTAATCCTTAAAATTTTATGATTTTATTATAACCTTTTAGAAAATTCTAAATTTACCCCTGACCAGGCGCCTACCTACAATGATCTAAAATTTCAACTTGATTTTATTTAGAAATATTGGAAAATAAATAAAGGCCTACAAAAACGATAAACTAATTAAATTAAAAAAGTACAGTCTCTAATACTTTAAATATATTTCATTTCATCCCCTTCTATCTTCTCCCCTCTCTTTTTTGTGTTTTTGCTTGATTCAGTGCCACTGTTTTTCATCTCTCTGCACATCAGAATAGAACAGATAAAATTCACGAAATTTATAAATTTTGTGTTTTTGGGCAGTGTTAATTCACTGCTTGAGAACATCCCATTTGTATTTAGAAACAAATTGGAAGTTATTAATCCATTATATCCCTTCTTTCTTCTTTTGTTTGTTTGGGTTTCTTCCGATCGAGAGAAGCTGCGCGAAATTAGGATTCTGGCGTTGAAATGTGGGTAAAAAAATTAGTTTTATTGATTGTTAAGTCTACTGAAGAATCGAGAAAGATTGTATGTAGTTAGAAGAGCTAGTATTTACTATTTGGATCTTAATGGAGCTCAGAATCCGTTTTGGACCAACAGCTATAAACAGATTTGGTTTCAAGCTTCGCTTTGCCGCCGTTGTATTCAAGGTAAAGGTTGGATTTCACTTTTATTTTTTAACAATAAAAAAACTATTAAACTGTAAAAAAAATGTTGCTAAACTGGTGTTTTATATGAATGTAAAGAAAATTTCTTGATTGGTTCCTCGTATAAAGATGATTCCCTCTGGTACTTCATAGTAGTTTGATGTATACGTAGTTAATTCTACTTATGAATTACTTTCCTTTTTCCGTGGTTGCTTTCCTTTTCTGGAAGCTGTTCACTAAGGGTTACTTGTTTGGCAAAATCTGCTCTTTTACTTTAATGAACTATTGAAAATTTGAGAAGTAGCTGGGACTTGTAAACTTGCTGCTTTTGCCATTCCCCCGATTTTTTTTTTCACTTTTGAATTATTTGAAGTTGAAATTTTTGTGGTCAACTCTGCTTCAATTAGCTAAATTGGAGCTCATGATTTGCAAAAAGTTAATCTTTGAACTCGTATTAGCCATTCCTAATTTTGTTTTATTAGATCCGTTGTTGCATAGATTCTTTGCTTTCTGATTTCGGGATTTCTTGATTGTGCCCTTCTCTTTAAAACTCAGACTTTTCTGGTTTCTAGTGCAGATTTTATTGACACTCTTGTGGTTTGGAGCTTCTACAGCAAAATTTAGGGAGCAGCATCCGCAATGGGAAGTCCTAAAAAGAGGAAGTAGTGAAAATATTGTCTCACACTCATGTATTCATGACCAGATAATTAAGCAGAGGACGCGACCAGGTCGTTACATTTATTTGGTTACCCCTCAAATTTATGATCATTCCGATAACTCAAATCATCTTCATCACAAAGGAAGGTCGCTGCTTGAGGTTCCTGAATTGCTTGGGCATACAAATGATGCTAAGAAACCTATAAGAATATATTTGAATTATGATGCAGTTGGCCACTCCCAGGATAGAGATTGTCAAAAAGTTGGTGACATTGTGAAGGTGGGTGGTTTTGTTTCCTTGTAAACCCTCTAGCACTGTTTGTCTGGTCAAGATTGTGAATCTGATGTTGGGTACTTGGTGTTTATTTTTTTGTGTTTTTTCTGTTCCTTTGGTTTTTATTTTACCAGCTCGGGGAGCCTCCTGTGGGTTCTCCTCCTGGATCTCCCTCCTGCAATCCTCATGGTGGTCCTCCAATTTATGGTGACTGTTGGTATAATTGCACCTTTGATGATATATCTGGGGAGGACAAACGTCATCGCCTTCGCAAGGTTTCACTTTATATATTTTACAAATGCACTTGCTTTTGTTTGAGTTATGTATGATTAATCACTTGCTAACTTTTGAAAGGAATTTAATGAAGGCTCTAGGGCAGACAGCTGACTGGTTTGAGAGAGCCTTGGCCGTAGAGCCTGTGAAAGGGAATTTGAGATTGAGTGGATATTCTGCATGCGGACAAGATGGAGGTGTGCAACTTCCACACAAATATATTGAAGGTATCTCATTGCAGTTCCATTACTTTGTTTAGACCTTATATTCATCTTGAGCATGGTCTCTAAAGAGTAGTTTCCTTTAAGGTTCATTCTTTTGTATTTGTACTAAAGAGTATTTATTAATCTTTAAAATTTCTTGCAGAGGGTGTAGTTGATGCAGACTTGGTCCTGCTTGTGACTACAAGACCTACCACTGGCAACACTTTGGCATGGGCAGTAGCATGTGAACGTGATCAATGGGGCCGTGCAATTGCTGGTAATTTATTGTTTTTCCATCTCACAAGTGGAACATGTGGCTGCTATGTGCGGTAGAAATCTAAAATCAGAAGCAACGGGGAACTTGTATTTTGTAGGACATGTGAACGTTGCTCCTCGGCATTTAACAGCTGAAGCAGAGACTTTACTTTCAGCCACTCTTATCCACGAGGTTTGACGATTATTCTTTCATGTTAATTTCATAAGTATAGAAGAAAATTTCATTCCTAATCACCCTCTTTATTTTAATCCAGGTTATGCATGTTCTTGGCTTTGACCCGCATGCTTTTGCTCACTTTAGAGATGAGAGAAAAAGGAGGCGTAGTAAGGTAATTGCATGACATTTATATTTAATATGCGCTTGATACACTATTGTGATAAACTTTATGAAGTCAAAGCTCAAACCCTAAAAAATGTTGTTGCCTTTGAAATTGGAGTTTGGTTGAAGTTTTAGTACTTTGTATTTTTTACAAATGCTTTTGAGACTTTGTTGCTTATGTCTTGCTACCAATATGAATCTTTTTTTACCATCCTAGTATTTCATGGACCCAATTTAGAACCTCACTATGAGACAGTCATCTCTATGTGCATTTTGCAGGTTACTGAACAAATCATGGATGAAAAGCTTGGGAGGATGGTAACTCGTGTGGTGCTTCCACGTGTTGTCATGCACTCACGACATCATTATGGGGTATTGTGAACTTCTCTGTTGTTTTGAATTTTGTGACTTTAGATTGCTGAAAAACAAAATAAGAAAATCAAGGAAATGGTTAATAGCACTATTGACAGGCATTTTCAGAAAATTTTACGGGCTTAGAGCTAGAAGATGGGGGAGGACGTGGCACGTCTGGTATTCACTTCTGTCCCTGTTATTTTTGTCTCTCCCCTTTCTATTGAGGCATTGATTGTAGATTTTTAACTCATGGAAACTATCTAAAAATTAGTGTAAAATACGTAATATGATTCTTAATAGAAGATACAACAGTATAACACTTTGATCCTTAATGTTTGAGGGATGACTTGGCTCCAGGGTCTCATTGGGAAAAGAGGCTTTTGATGAACGAGATAATGACGGGATCTGTGGATACAAGATCAGTAGTTTCAAAAATGACTTTGGCTTTGTTGGAGGATAGTGGATGGTATCAAGCTAACTACAGCATGGCAGATCATCTTGATTGGGGTCGCAACCAAGGAACCGATTTTGTTACTTCTCCTTGTAATCTCTGGAAGGGGGCTTATCGTTGCAACACTACCAATTTTTCCGGTTGTACATATAACAGGGAAGCAGAGGGTTACTGCCCTATTGTAACTTATAGCAGAGACCTACCTAAATGGGCTCAGTATTTTCCTCAGGCTAACAAGGGTAATTTTCTCATTTGGTTCTTTTTATCTGTCTAATTTTGTTTTTTCTGATCTATTTATATGACCCATACACCCTAGTAATTATTTGTGAAGATTGAATAATCAATCCATTGACATATGAAATTTTGAATAAGTTGCACATGAAGCAAAGTTATTTTCAGTTTTGGTTTGCATCTAAATGTACTTGTTAAAAGTGATACTCATGTACTTCATGCAATTTTAAGTATGCTAGGGAATGAAATGGTTTGAAGATACGAGCATTGAATGCTATCATTTTAATACTATCAACATTATTGAATTTTTACTTCGGTCCTCTCGTAAGCTATGTGAACTTCTTTACTGATCCTTGCAGGTGGTCAGTCTTCGCTGGCTGATTATTGCACATACTTTGTGGCTTACTCTGATGGATCCTGTACGGACACTAACAGTGCAAGAGCCCCAGACAGAATGTTAGGTGAAGTGAGAGGGAGTAACTCCAGGTGAATTTTGACCTTAAAATTTTCAGTGGAACACAGTTTAAACTTCTTACCTGAGACACAGTTTGACCTTATGAGGAAATGGCTGATCAATATTCTTTTGTGATGAATAGGTGCATGTCTTCTTCCTTAGTACGTACTGGTTTTGTACGGGGTTCTATGACCCAAGGAAATGGTTGTTATCAGCACAGATGTGTAAATAACTCTTTAGAGGTATGGAATCGTGTTTGTAAAGCCAAGTTTTGATAAAAGTAGCCTTGTAGCTTGAGAGTTATGATCATTGTGGGCTGTAATCTTATCTTTTCAGCGTATAGTTCTTTGGCAATTGTTCATTTGCTGCAACGCCCAAATTACAATAAATCTTTTTCAATAATGGCCTGGCTGAATGAAGACACCTGTTTATAACAGTAAATGTGAAATCTGGCAAAGAAGCACTGGCTCATTGAAGTTTATCTGTAATTTTGTTAACAATTGTTCTTTCTAGGTTGCTGTGGATGGTATTTGGAAAGTATGTCCAGAAGCTGGTGGACCAGTTCAGTTCCCTGGATTTAATGGTAGTTTTCATCTGCTGACTTTTTATTCAATATGATCCTATCTATACGCGATAGTAATTCTTTTTCCATTTTATCTGCAGGAGAACTGATTTGTCCTGCTTACCATGAAATCTGTAGCACTCCTGCTGCTTCTGTGTCAGGGCAATGTGCCAATTCTTGTAATCTTAATGGTGACTGTGTTGATGGAAAATGTCATTGCTTCCTTGGATTTCAGGGTCATGATTGTTGTAAAAGTGAGTGCAAGGATCCTTCTTTATTCCATTATTTAGCTTTGTGTAAGACAATATTTCATATATGAATTCTCTCCTGAACTGATCCTTTAAAACAAAAACTGATGCTATTTTCCTTTGTCCTCTTGTCTTATAAATTCAAGGATCTTGCCCTAACAATTGCAATGGGCGTGGAAAGTGCCTATCAAATGGGGTTTGTGAATGTGAAAATGGGCATACCGGTATTGATTGCTCAACAGGTATAGTAATTATTCATTATATTTGGAAAATATTCTTACTGATGCTGTATAGTATTATTCTATCGTTTTGATGATTTTTATGTACTGATTTACTTGGAATTATATGCAGCTGCCTGCGATGAACAATGCAGCCTTCATGGTGGGGTCTGTGACAATGGGGTTTGCGAGTTTCGCTGCTCTGACTATGCAGGCTACACATGCCAGAATAGCTCCTCTCTCCTCTCAAGTCTTTCAGTATGCAAAAATGTGTTGGAGAGGGAGTTGTCCGGGCAACACTGTGCACCCAGTGAGGCAAGTATCTTACAGCAGCTCGAAGAAGTTGTTGTCATGCCCAATTACCACCGACTGTTCCCCAGTGGTGCTCGAAAGTTATTTAACAATCTCTTTGGGAGCCGCTACTGTGATGCAGCTGCCAAGCAACTAGCCTGCTGGGTAAATTTACTCATCCTTGCTCTTCTATTTCCCCATTGGTAGCCAATCACAGGAGTTGAACTCTAAAATGCTTTCTCTGTGTGATACCAGATTTCGATCCAAAAATGTGATGATGGGGACAACAGACTACGGGTATGCCATTCAGCATGCCAGTCATATAATTTAGCATGTGGAGCATCATTAGACTGCTCAGACCAAACTCTATTTAGTAGAGAAGAGGAAGGCGAGGGCCAATGCACCGGCTCGGGTGAGATGAAGCTTTCGTGGTTTAATCGGTTGCGGACTAGTTTATTTTCAAGCAATACATCTTTGAAAGGAATATCTATAGGGTATAGGCAGTCATAACCCCTCTCTCTTTTTCTAACGCCAATCCCCTCTTCTCCCCGTCTAATTTTGGCTTGTAATTTTTCTAGGGTTCTAGTATAGGAAAGTTGGCACATTGTGTCCCAAGTGTAGAGTTTGTTTTTTTCTTTCGCCCAAAGTCAATTTGAAAATTTGGGAATGTTCAGGCTTCTCAAGATGAAAGCCACGTGTAGAGAAAACTGAAAATGTATTTGCTAAAAAGAGAGAAAAAGAAAAGAGGAATCTCTTTTGATGTTTGGCCGAAGGCCTTGAAAGGAAAGGAAATCTATCATAAATTTTCTACCTGTGCCACACTCTCTCTTATCCAATGGTTATTGATCCATTAATCTAGGAAATTTAGGTAGTATTTCTCCTGGCAATGATTAGGCAGTAATTGTTTTGTAATGTAATAAAAAAAGTAATAGATCTTAATATTTAATGTTGTAAACAAAATTAAAATCCAAGTACACAATAAAGGATGAACAGTAGCGTAAAACACTAAAATAAATAAATATTCATCGTGGATAGTAGGACAGCAAAGCATGCAGAGTGTAGCTACAGTGGCTCACGCAAAGCTTATGGCATCTCTTATTTCTTGGTTCTTGAACATCATTAGATTGGTGAAGAATGCATACACATCACGGGACTTACTCACCAAACATACCAACCACCATCTTTATATCTCACACAAGTTCTTAACTAAATCTATTTCTGACAAATTAAGTAAACTATTGATTTCGATATTTATAACTTGAAAAATCTTACAATCCAATCAAAGTTTAGACCATAATATAACGAGCAAAACCGAATTAAACACCATCAGAACCATGTGTCATGATGTTCATGACCCGGTCGGACAAAATGTAATCACATAGTCAGACGCGATACAGGTCATGGTACTGGTGGCGTCATCGTAGGCATAACTGTAAGCCGTGGGGCATGCATTCTTGAACAACTGCGAGTACTCGGTCGGTGAGCATGACTGAGGTGTAGAATGGTCGCCGGTGCAGTAATATTCCGGCGTGTTGAAAGCGGCACAGGCGCTTTTACAAGCAATGACTGAACCCGAATCCAACATCTGTAACTCAGCGGGGCAATCTATATTGAGATCCTTGACACAACTTGCGTATTGGCATGTCCCTGTGCCACCAACGGCCTTCACTGCTAACCCAAGGTTGTAACCATCCACCAGACTAACGTCGTAAAAGTCCTTATTATTACTTCCATTAAGGGTGAACTCCACCAGGGAAACGGGTGGCTCACCACCACCGGCACACTTTAACCCGCCACCGCAGTTGCCGGTTACACATTTGTCAGAGCCAGAGTTGTCGAATTTGCAGCCGGTTCGACCCCAAAAGCGACCAGATCAACCGGGTGGAGCCTGGAATTGAGATGATGAACCAGGTGCCAATGCAAAACCACCACCACCAATGGCGGGACCTTTTCCGGCCAGAGAACCAGGCCATACAGTGAAATTACAACGATTTTCGATAGTAAAAAGGGTAGCCGAAGAGAATGTCGCCCCTGAAATCGGTGTTATAAGCAAAACCGAGTCAATGTTTTTTCTTTATTCGAACCAAAAACTTGAAACATCCAGTGGGTAATGATTCTAAAACGGAAAAGATAAAAACTTTTATTAAAAAAAAACAGATAAGAAAAATGTCCTAAAGCAATACATTTACCAAATGAGACGTGATTCAGCAGAAAAAGAAAATAAACCACAGGGGAATTCGCCATTGTTCTTTTGTGAGGAAGGAGAGATTGAGTAAAATGGAACCGAGATGATGTGCGAATCTACATAGAACGTTATCGTATTTATATTAGGCCGGCTCGGTTCCACTACCCCATAAATTTTGTTAACAAAGATATAAAATTTGTCCCATCTTTTCGTGAACAAGATTAGATTTTTTCACACAGAAATTACAAATATTATATTTTTGGTTTAAGAGAATAAACTCTACGCTTTCTTTCTCTTTCAGTGAAGACGATGTACATTCATTGAGGTACAAATCGGTGACGTCACGTTTTTTTTTTTTTGATAATTCATCAATTTTATTATCTAAAGAAGCATAAAATACTATAAAAAAATACCGATCTCAACACCTAATGTACAAACTACATACAAAAAAATATCAGATCAGTTCTAATATAAACCCCATGAAGTACAAAGGTTAGAGTTAACTCTATCAGTCCTATTAATATTTTTCCCCCTAAGCTTGATTCCTACAAATTCTTTGATGTAAATCAGGAGATCATCATTGGCTCGGTGGTATCCTCTAAATATTCGTTTGTTACGCTCCTCTCACAAAAGGTATAAAGAAGCACACGTTTTCTTTTACCTCTACTCTTTTTATATTAAAAGTTTTTTCACCCACCTTTTCATGAACCGAATCGCTAAGTTCTTGCATTAAATTTTGTGAAGCTAAGAAAGACGGATCTCTATTAAGATTGAAGGTCTATCGATGAAATATGTATTTTTTATATTTAAGATTGGGATGTTTCCTTCATCTAAAAAAAAAGACATTACTCAATTCCTAGTCTTAGTAACTTGTAAATAATCAAATCAGTTTAGATTTTTCAAAACGACATCCAATGTCATATTATTGGGCACGTGAGATGGACAGTTTTAGGCATACATAAGATGCCGAGAAAAAGATTCAGACTACCTCCGATTCTGAACACGCCCTTATAGCCCACTTAACCACCATCACCACGTGCTTGCTTCCACACTTCCCACTACTACTCTTCCCCCCAGAATCTTTCTTAATTAATCCATAATAACCCTCTCTAAACTCTATTTAACCCACTAAATCTATTCTTACTTCTATATCATCCCCCCTTTTTATCATGTTTTCGGCCATGGGGTTTAGTTGTGGCCGTTATCATAATTTTTATCATGTAATAGGGTAGAGTAGGTGAATTTGAATTGGACCAAATAAGTTTGTAACTAAGAATCTAGCCCATTGAGACCTCCATCCATATAGGCAGGTTTTAATTGGCCCTATAAAAGATCTATACGATAAAAATGATGATGGATATGCCAGTGTGGCAGTGTTTGTTTCCATCCATAGACTACTTTCAAATAGAGCCGATATGGCCCTCACTGCTTCCACCTAGGGATGGCAAGCGGGTATAATTTCGTAGATTCCGTACCGTATACGTTTCAATTGGGGCGGGGATGGTATAATTTTAGTGGGTAGTGGGCGGGTGTGGATTTAGAAAGTGGTACCCGTCGCGGGTAGTGGGCGGGTAATGGGTTTGAGACCTTACCCGCCCCGCATCCGCACCGCATCCACCCGCCCCGCATCCGCCCTCCCCACATCCGCCCGCCTAACTAAATATCCATTAAATTTTGGACCATTCTGAATTTAGGTGTAATTTTAAGAGACTAATTTTATAAATCCTAATATTGTATAAGATATAACTTGTAATTTAACCAAGTATTAGGGATAAGTTTATGCATAAATTTTTTTCTTTCAAACCTCTTGTCTTCACTCTCCAACTTATTCATGTATGTTTCTTCCCTTTTTACTTGAAATTTAATTTTTGTAAGAGTCATTTTCGTAGTCATTTCGTTTTAAGCTCCTCTGCATTTAGTTTTAAGAGTTTAATTTTTATTTGCTCGTACTGATTTTTAATTATTTTTTAGATTCATCTTAATGTTTGTTTTAAGCTTAATTTCTTAATGTTCTACAAATCAATATCTTGTGACTGAGCACCCACGTTTTTGGCTAACAGAGTCAGATCGTTGCTTCTCAAATCTCTATTTTTAACGCCACTGAATAGAATTAAGTGTTTCACATGTGCTTCACAAACCTCCATTTTTAACGCCATTGAAACTGACTTTTTCAAATTCAAATTTCAACCGAGTATTTTGCAATACTGGTGTTTTATTATGGTGTTTTATGAGAATGATGATTGTAATACTGGAGTATCAGATAATCATTTATGTTTGTCACAAATATTGCTTGAAATTTTATAATGTTGTGCCAAAGAACAAAAATATTATGTGTTTGTCATTTATGTTTCTAGACTTTAATTATGTCTTTTATTATGATGTTTTATGTACTTTAAGATCTATATTAACACTTAACTCAGATAATCATTAGTTTATTTTATTATGTTTCTTAATAGATGTGTTTGTTTTATGTTTGTTGCTTATGTATAACTTAAGTTTGTTGTCAGGCGGGTCTAGCCGGGTACTTCTCCAATGGGTAGTGGGTGTGGGGGATAGATTTGAGAATGTACCCGCGTGGGCGGGTGTGGATTTGAAAATTTTTACCCATCATGGGTGGTGGGCGGGTGGTGGATTGAAAAATATTAGGTGGGTATGGAGATGGGGGAGGGGGTATTCGCACCCGACCCGCCCGTTTGCCATCCCTACTTCCACCCAACCTGATTTTTATATTTTTCGTCTTTACTCTAGTTTTTAGTTTAGTTATTGAAAAAATATATAATTCTAAGTTAAGGAATAATAATTCAGTTTTTCTATATACTCTTTTATAAATTTAACTATTAAAATTATTATCTAATTGCATACTTGAAACGAATATGAATAAATACTATCAAATATTTATTTTTCAAATTCATATAACTTATATAGATGTGGAATATGAGTTTAGATATCTAAATCTGACTCGAGATAAGGGGTGTTTAACGAGTTGAGTAGCTCGTGAGCAGCTCGAGCTCAACTCGGTAAACGCTCAACTCGAGTTGGCTCGACTCAAACTCAAACTCGACTCGAGACCTTAACGAGTTGAGCCAAACAAAGTATAACTCGACTTGACAAGTAAGCGAGCAGCTCGATAATTTTTTAAAATATATTTTTAGTAATTACTTCAAAATTATTTCATTCAAAAAATAAATCTAAATAATAATTATTAATTTATTCTTATCAAAAAAATAATTATTAATTTATTAATAAATAATAAAAAAATAATAAGTTAACTAATCTGTTATATTTTATTAAATAATAAAATATTATTAATTAACAATATTACTTTAATACAAAAAAAGCTCAACCCTAATATCCTCATATAGTGTTAGTAAATTTTATTTTTAGTTAAAAATATAAGGTAATTTTTTTAGTGAGCTTAACTAGTAACAAGTCGAGTTGAGCATCAAATTTTTTTAACGAGCACGAGCCTAGCACAATTTTAAAGAGCTTAACGAGGAACGAGTCGAGTCCAGCAGCAAATATTTTTTAATGAGCACGAGTCGAGCACTGCCCAACTCATGATCGACTCGCTCGATAAACACCATTTGGTTATTTGACATATAATTTTTTATAGATTCATATATCAACAGATAATAATATTTAAATAATTTATAAATAAAAATATATATATATTTTTGAACAAATTTAAATAATTTTAAAAAACATTGCCTTTAAAAATTTAGGGCAGCTCATTTATGCCGACTTTTACGACCCCTCTGCTGCCGGTGACCCTTGGAATTAATAAACTTGTTACGTTCAGCGTTTAATTTTTAAAAATAATTATTTACTCTGTTTTATGTTTTATCATAGATCACTGCATCCGGCATGTTACAGGGATGGGTCGAGGGTATGATCAAAATGATAAGCCATAATTTTCCCAACTCACTTAAATTGCATACATTTATGCCAAAAGCTGCTCATGCCATAACTCATCCACCAATAAACTTGTAAATCACAGAACACCAACTCCAGACAAAACCTTAAACAACAGGTATATAATCTAATAATAAATTCTTAAATGTTTATTTATTTATTTTACCAACCAGCTCTGCGGGTCTTAGATATATACTCTGCAAATATTTTCAAGTATCTAATGCTTAAATGTTACGCTTATCTACAGTAAGAATATCAGAATACATATATATATATATATATTTGAATTGAAAAGAGTGTTCAAATTACATTAATTACAAAGATAAGGAGGACCGTATGTATCTCTAACTAATAATTCTAGAATTGTCGAAAGAGCATGCTCAAGTAATGAAATATCAGTGAAACAGTATGAGTCTCTGAGAGGCTAAGATGAGTCAGTTTATATGTAATTTTGTTCGTTTCTCTTAGAATCCATTAAAGAGACGTCCAACATTTTTGTCAAAGTCTTTTAATAGTACAAACTAAGAATAAATGAATCAGTATGTTATAGTACTTTATTTAATTATAATACAATTTTTTATTTAATTAATAAACTATAAATATACAATTTTTTATAATACAGTTTACCTGTAATATAATTTTTTTATTTAATTATAATACACTTTTTTATTTAATTATAATACAATTTTTAGTAGTACAAACACGAAGATTTTTTTATTTGTAATAACAATAAGGAGAAGAAACTTCAAGAAAGTCAGATGGTGGGTTCGTGTATGGTGATCACTTCAATCAAAATTTTTATAGTAAGAGAGCTGTTTTCGGATGGCCGATGAAATTTCATGATTTAATTTTGTTTAATAACAATAGATATGCCTTAATTTGTACATAATCAAATATAATACATTATAACCGCATCAGATTATTCAAAAAATTCCTTTTAATACAAAGCATAATGCGTAATCACACTTACATATTGAGAAATTATAAACATTGAGATTTGGATATAAGTTTATTGAATATTATTTTGTAAAAGAGATTGCATGAATTTAGAGAGGCACTTGCGATCAGGTTAAATTAATGAATGCTGATTAGGATGAAGATTAATCATCACACTATTTAAAAACATAATAAGTACGACGTGTTTATTTTATGGATTATTATTTGATATATACATATAATTTATATAAATTAAATTCTAAATTTCAGAATTATAATTTTAAACTTAAATATTAATAATACATGTGACAATAATTTCATTTTATAAAATAAATATATTTTAATAAATTTAATCAAATGTATTGTATTTGGAATTTATATTTACAGGTTTATATAAAAAATACAAAATAGGATATAAAAGGCAAATTCCGATACAATAAAGATATTTGATGTGCAATTTCGAAATTGATTGATAGTTTTTGGGTGGAATTTGTGTTATACGTGGAAATGGCTGGAAAGACATTGACGAGATTCTTTAACGCACATGAATAAAGTCTAGGGCAGACATTTGACAACATTCAAACTTTTATTCATTAAGTTAAAGGTTACTTCCCTGTTAAGAGAACAATGGTTTCGAATTAGAACAAGAAGAAAGAAGAGAGCTTCCCTTATCAATTTTGATTTATTCATTAATTTAATTAGTGGACCGTGATTATTTTTGTAATATGGTTTGTGTATTTTACTTATTTCAGTAAAGTCTTTCGTTTGTTTAATAATAAGATAAATAGCTACTAATTTTAGTGCATGCATTGGAATTGGATAACATACATTTAAATAAATGAATAATGAATAACTATTTGATTGCGATGATATAATTTTTAATTTTATAAATGAATTAAATATTTTTATTAATATTTAAAAATATGTTAAACTTTTATTAAAATGCATAATTTAATGTAAAATAAAAATAAAATGATATTCTTTTAATACACCATACATTTACTTGCTTGCCGCGTGGATGATATTTTGAGAGTAAGTTGTACATTGCTTCGAGCTCTTTTGACAATCCTTGCTTGCCGCGTGGCAATACTTTTGAAAGTTGTACAGTTGTGATGATCAAATTTTCAAAGCGTGTAGGTCCTACTTTTTCATGCCGGCTGGGTACGGTTGATATGATTGATAGGTAAGCATGAGATAGTTAAATTCGACTTGGATAACTTTTATTTTTTCTATTATTTATTAATTTTAATTATATGTTTTAAAAATTAATTTATTCTCGGTTTCTTAAAAAAATAATTTATTTTATAATTTTTGATGTTATTTTATAATCGGTAATATTATTGTTAGTCTAATAGGCTGAGACATTATATTTCTTAAGCAAGATTAAGGGTTCAAATCCTGACGTTTGCGAATAGATCAACCTGGGTTAGGAGGGTCACCCTTGTTTCTACAATACCCGATTTAGATTAATCGATTAATAAATCGGATATCAATAATTAATTAAAAAATAATTTATTTGTAATAATCTAGTATCTTATATTAACTATAATTTAATCTATATATAACATTTTATGAATTATGTATCAAGGAATAAATTTTTTTGACACAGTTAAGGGATAAATTTCATCAAGTGATTTGGTGCTCCGTTTTCCATTAATGACATAGGAAAAATAGGTTCAATTTTCCTTAATTTTATTTTTCTATCTCTTAATTATGGATAAATACACAAATAGTCTATCGATTATAGGACATTGTCTTATTAAGTCATTCGACTATTAAAATTATAAAGTGATTATCTAACTATATACGTTATTTTATTGAGTTATCGACTATTAAAAGTTACAAAATGATCACCAATTATTCATTTGTTCCAAACCTATCCTTTTCTGTTAAAAAGATGACGGTCGTCTGAGCTAGATGTTAACATGTTGATTGAGATCATATTTTAAAAATATCTACTGACATAGTCGTTACTTTTAAGCACTACCTCGACGACGTAGCGTTTTAAGCACTGACTCAACGACATAATATAAATAGAGAGTCAATCAAAAGATATAACTTAAATGGTTATGAGATTAAATTTTGTTATATCACAATCAACAAGTTAATCTCAATCTCAGATGACCATTAATTTTTAAACGAAAAAATGATGAGTTTGAAGCATATGAATAATCATGTGACTATTTTGTAACCTTTAATAGTTGGAGGACCTTAACAATGCAAAACTCTATAATTGATAGACTATTTTGTAACCTTTAATAGTTTGAGGACTCAACAAAACAACACCTTATAATTTGAGGACAATTTATATACTTTACGCTTAATTATTATCAACAGAATCTATATATAATTTAGGGATCATTTAAATAGTTGTCTTTTCATTTTATTTGGAGGGAGTTGATGCTGTAGTTAAAGCATGAGGTTGATTGGGCTGCTTGACAGGTAATGCAATGGGCTTTTGAGTTCTGCTGTTCAGTTCATCAACAGCTCTAAACTCGTAGCCGAAATTTGTATTTTGCATGTTCTTTGATAGGAAAGGAGACTCGACTTATTCTTAGGGCCCAGAGATAACCATGCCCTACACCCAGGGGTGGAGGCATGATTTTATCTTATTTTAGGGGAAGTGAACATAAAAAGTTATATTAGAAATTCAAAAAATATAAAATTAAAAAAATTCAAAAGGTATGAAACTAAATCATCGATACAAATTACAAAAATATAATTTAATTTAAATTATATAGGAGTTTGAATTTTCTAGAGAGTGCGATCCCCTCCGATGTTTCCATGTCCTGACCTAGAAGCCAAGCAAAGGTTGTGGTCCTTGTAAGGTTTCAATCATGCTGAAGTATTAAAACAAAAAGAGAGAACATGAATTAGATTTTTAATCGTTAAACAGTTTACACGGGTTCGTTGTGGACCATGGATCAAGTCATTTTGATAGTCGACGAATATTGTATTCGACTAAACTAGTGAATCATGGTCTTAAAAATTATAAAATTGTTGTCTTTACAACATAAAATCAGGAATAATCCTTGACGTATTGCAACTATGATTTTTATACAAATGAAGCAGGGGGAAATATTTTGTATCCTACTTGGGGCGTTGCTATACGAGTCAACAAAATTTTAATTTATCTGCATTTTTAATGACATTAAAAACGCGTTTTTACTCTTTCAACATTAATCCCTGAAGGCAGCAACCCCCATTCTTCAACTTCCTTCTCTGATCAGCAAACCATTTTCACCATGAATCACTTCCTTTTCTGCTTCTTCCTCCTTAATCTTTTCAATGTATGCATGAATGCTCAACAAAATTACTCTGGCGACTTGGCTTTGGATTGCGGCAACATCGATGAATCAGGCGCTCCTTCAGACTTTCTTTACACTTGCAATGGCCAACGTCGAAATTGCCTTGCTTTTCTTATCTACAAGGCTGAACCTCCTTTTAACTCGGTTCCCAGCATTTCAAATCTCGCATCTACGAGCCAGGCAGCAGTTGCTACCATCAATAATGTGACTGAGGATGCAACGTTCCCAACCGGGAAAGAGGTAATCATCCCTGTAAATTGTTTCTGTTTAGGCCGGTACTATCAGGCGAACACCACGTTTCACATCTCGAACGTCTATGGCATTTATTATACCATAGCAACCAAGGCATATCAGGGATTAATCACATGCAGTTCCCTTAAACGAGCTAATCCACTGAGTGAATACGGATTGGTTCCTGGAACCGAGTTGAAAGTTCCACTTCGATGTGCTTGTCCGACCCGTGATCAAACCAAGAGTGGAACCAAGTATCTATTAACTTACTCTGTCAACAAGGAAGATACTGTTCCAGGTATAAGTGATAGATTCAATGTGAGCCAAAAAAGCATTAATGATGCAAATGGTTTGGTAGAGAAGCAAACTATTTTCCCTTCCACAACAATCCTAATTCCCTTGCCAACAGCGCCTTCAAGTTCACAAACTATAATTCACAAGGACCAACCACTTGATTCACCTCAACTATTTGACAAACACCCAAAAAGCCATAGATCGAAGCGCAAATTGTATGAGGAAGTTGGAATTGCAGCAGCTTGTTTCGTGCTTGTTCTTATCATCATCCTGTTCTTTACTTTTATGTTCAATAAGAGAAAGGATGGAGTTCTTGAAAGTAGCAATGAAAGAAACAATAATTATGTATTACCTGCAGCCAAACTCCGTATCGAAATTGCGAGATTGGACCAAGGTTTAAGAGTGTTTACATTCAAGGAGATAAAGAAAGCTACACGAAATTTCAGTTCCAAGAACAGAATAAACGGTTCTGTCTATTCTGGTGGTTTCCGTGGGAAAATTCTGGCTGTTAAAAGAATGAGACGAGATGTATCCAAGGAGATACAATTGTTGAAGAATATCAATCATTTCAATCTGATAAAGCTTCAAGGAGTAAGTGAAAACGATGGAATTTTCTATCTTGTTTTCGAGTATATGAAAAAAGGGTCTCTGAGGGATTGGCTTTGCAATGAAAGCAGTGGCGAGACTGGAAGCTGGATAAGGAGGATTCAGATTGCTTTGGATGTTGCTAATGGGCTTTACTATCTTCACAGTTTCACCAAACCTGCCTATGTACATGGGGACATCAAGAGTAGTAATGTTCTGCTAAACAATAATCTAAGGGCCAAGATTGCAAACTTCAGCCTCGCAAGAGCAGCAGTGAATGAAAAGAGCAGCATCGGTTATACAAGTTTGATTTCAGGGACTAGAGGTTATATCGCCCGAGAGTTTATTGAGACAGGGCAGGTCACTTCCAAGATTGATGTCTTTGCTTTCGGAGTTGTGCTATTAGAACTGATCACTGGAAAATATGCGATCGTTACACAAGATAGAAGAGAAGTACTGCTATCAGAAACCGTTGTTTCCATCATGGAAAAAGACGGTGCTGAAGCTGAGCTCGATTCCTTCATCGATCCTAGGCTAAAATGCGACAACTGGACAGAGTTTGCACTGCAGATGGCTCAATTAAGTGTAGCCTGCTTGACAGAAGAACCCAGAAAGAGACCAAGCATGGAGGAAGTAGTGTCAGTTTTGTCCAAAATTCAAACAAACAAATACTAAATAGGCGCATTGTCAGATTACATGAAAGAATTTTCTTAATAAATGGAATCTTTAAATAATTGTCCTCAAAAAGGGTCCAAACAATAAACTAACTATATAAAAAAAATGAAGAATGGCACCGACAGCCACAAGGAATGAAAAATTGAAATACTTCTAAAACTACTCTATAGAGGCATGAATGTTATCCTATGTGCTAGGAGCCTTTGGTTCTAAAAGGAAAAGGCCCAGCTTTAACTCTCTGAAAGAATAGGGAAACATGATTCAGAATTCGGGGTTTAGGATTTCATTTTGGGAACCTCCCCGTCACCCGAATATGTTCAAGGGTTCTTCTAATTTGGTGCTTGAAGAACTCCCCAAGCTTCCTGTCTAATTGAGATCTTTTGCCCTTTTTTAATCTACTACTCGTAGCAGACAATGAAGTTTGAGGAGCATTGCTTGAAGCAGATTCGAGCTGGGTAAGTAACCACATGTGTGCTAACACCTGACAAATACCCTCCTCAACATCCTGACTAAGAGTCCGGAAACCTAACAACCAGCATATGTGTCACTGTTAGTGTCTCCAAAATGGGAAAATAACACATTTTTTACTACCTATGATGGAAACGGGACACACCTTGAAGTCGCATCCATGCATGCATCATCTCATGGGCTAAGATTGATCCAGTCAATAACCTAAATATATTCAAGATATCATGTTTGTATCAAATACATCAGCATCGCTTAAGTTACGGTACAAAGAGCAATCAAAATTTTGCATCAACTGCCACAGATATGCACACTTTGTTAAAGTGCAGGAAGAATTTCATAAATTAGAAAGACAAAGAAGAGGCTAATAGGACCGTAATTCTTCATTCAGTAGATGTTTACTGAATGAGAATACAGTCACCTATAAAATCAATTACAGCAAATAAATACCTTGGCAAGCCGTAAAGAATGAGAATTGCAGTCACATCACATCGACGTGTCAATTTGTAAGGTTCTGTTATCATGTTCATTGTACAGTTTCCTCTCCCAGATCTTGGTCGTCTTAGAATCTGATGATTTCAGATTGGAGATAGTATAAATCTTTTGAGAGAGAGAAAAACCAAGGCAAATTCTTAAGATCAAACATTAGAAAAATAGAATTTCAAATATTCTTACGGTGCTGATAGTTTGTTCCTCAGAAAGGCAGAGTCCTCTAGTCTCCGGCATATGATAATGGCCCTGCCCAAGACGAAACTTTTAGAATGCAATCATATCAAGAAGAGACAAACAACTGCTAGTGTGTATTTCCATTAAGCAGTCAACACAGTATTTCCTTGACATCTAGAAGCAGAAGGATGCCACAGTGCTTCATTAGCACTCAGACATGACTGAAAACATATATTACGCTGAACATTGTACAGCTAAGGAAGTCCTATAAATTACTCTTGATGTCATTATTTCAGCATTTTTGCCCTTACATTCTTTTCTCCCTCTCTGGCGTCATTCAAAGCATGCCTTTCCACCAGGAGTAACGGAACTTGCTGCTCCACCTTCATATTTAAGCCTTCATAAAATTCTTGTATATCTCGATAAAGGGGTTGGCAGTTCCTTGTATCCATAACTGCAGAGTCCAAACACTCTAGGCAGAGCTTCCGCCCATCGTTAAGGGCCACATATCCTGTGTTTTGTGACTGACATATGATAGGAAAAATGTATCAAATGTTTCTCTTATTCTTCAGAGATAGTAGCAGAGTTCAGAAACTTAAATATGCTTAGAAAGATGTGCATGTTTCATCATACTAACCTCCATTCGCTCACAGCTGCAGCATCGTGGAGTACCATCATGTTCATGAGAAGGGCAGTACTTTTGAATCCAAAAGGGATGTGCCCTATATTCAATAAGACCAGCTGTGTTTGTTGGGATCTGTCAAAAGCATATTTCCGGAAAGACAGTAGCAACAAGAAATGAGTGACACACTTAAGAACATTAGATTCACTTTTTCTTTCCTTTCTAAACTACTTAAAAACAGTGTAGGATAGAAGATTTGTAGCTGCCATGCAGAGGTTTTCTGTTTTCTGTAATTTCTTTTGTATCCATTCTACTAATTTCTATCATTAAAACTTGGAATCACATCCAAGGATATCAACTATAAACTGCACTTTCATAAAACTCTATTACACACTATTGATATGTGCGCATATGATCTTCAGGTTTTGGGTTTATTTAGCACTTAAAATTAATTATCAGGTAAGAACAACTGAAAAACCACTTGTGATATGGCATTGCCATAAATTCATCAAAAATATAACAAATGCACTGAAATATGCAGCAAATCATAAATATTTCCGACTTTAAAAGTTTATGCATTCAATGAAGTAGAAGCAACATAAATTTATAATGAAACGAACATCAAACCAATGCAGTAGAAATGCTTACAAAGTGGTTGCAGACTTCACATTTTGGATGGTACTGCTCCTTGTAACAAGATTTATGAAAACGGTAATTCCCAGACATAGAGAACTACAAAAGAAAGTATACATCTAAATTAGCTTATTTGTTAATCAAACAACTAGTGAAGGAACCAAAGATGGTAACACTGGTAGGCACCAAAATTTATACCTCATAATCAGAAATTGGGAGGTTGCAAGCATGGCAACAGAAACATTCCGGATGCCAAAATGCACTAAGGCAATTTAGAAATCTTCCATAACCAATCTCAGTATTGCAACCAGCACATATCCTACCAAAAAAGAAGAAAAATTGGTCATGGGAGAAAAAGGGATACGGAATCTAAGCTATATCAATAGGTCTTTGCATGAAATGCTTCATCACTGATGCCAATGGAAGCCCATGTTTGCAAATTGCAGGAATAAAAAGCTCAAAGATAATTCATATTTCAGCTCTATCTAAATGAAATAGTTATTGTAATTAATGGCATATTATGTACCTGTATCCCATCGGAAAATGGACTGGCATAGGTTGATAAGTATGTTGATTTTCATATTGTGGAGGAGGTTCAAAGTTCAAGCTTTCTTGTAGAGCTCCGCAATTTGCTCATCTTCCTTTAGTTGATATTCGTCATCTAACCAATAATATGAGAAACATAATATTTCAAATTATGGCATGTTAGAAATAAGAATAAATAGAGAATAAAATGAACATTTTATTGGGAACTATTTGCTGATGCCATAAAGTACAGCTGACAAGAACATTCACATAAAAGTCGTGTAGACATGCTACTGACCTTTTACTTTTCTCCCCTTCTGACTTCCCTCGAGAAGGGATAGGGCAATAGCACGATCTATCTCTTCATTCTCATGCTCCCGCCATGCGTCCTACATTCAAGGTTGAGACCAAGATATAACATAGAAAGTATATTTAGAAAACTAACTAAAATAGCTCAAACAACCCAATTAACCAATTCCTTCAATGGAGCATTTCGCAACAGCAGCGTTACAGAAAGTAGGACGGGACCAAATCATCAAAAAATGTTGAGAAAATATAAATAACAATAAAGATAAAAGGAAAACATTAACAGATGTAAATACCCCGAGTCAGAAGGTGTATAAAATGGAGGATCCTCAGCATAATGTCCATGATAACTTCTCTCTGAAGATTTATGCGTGCATCCCTCAAAAGCTTTTTTTATCCAATTCATAATGCAGAATGTTACCTGCAAATAGAACATGGATTCAAGCACATAAACATAGGTATCACGAAATCTACATTAAAAGTCCAAAATATGCAGTTAATTTAAAATATAAACCAAAATTTGAGTTACACAATTAATGCTAAGATAAATGAGAAAACAATATATACTTCTAACTGAAGAATCATCAATGAACAGAGCTTGACAAAGAGTCACCGCCCCAATATTGAAAATTATAAAAAGATTGGAGAAAATGCCAGAAAGCATCATTGTTTTGAGCCAAAACAACTAAAGAATAAAATGAAAAGCAGCCCAGATGAGAAGAATGCTAAAATACTCCGGATGCTACTCAAGCGAGGCAAGCAAACATTTTTTTTAGGGGGGGGGGGTGTTCATGCATATTCAACAATTGCCTACAACAAAGTATATCAGTTCTGCATTTGTCTTCAATACAAGCTAGTCAACCGAGTGTAATTGTAAATGATTGCAATCAAAATCACCAACCTGACATTGTACAAACCCAGAATGTTTAAGCTAAAAACGAGTGAAAAGGCATCCAGTTCCTCTCTAGATCAATTGAATATAAGGAGAGGCCGCAAGAAAAGGATGAAGAAAAAACTGATTCTTTCCAGCTTAGGATGACCATAAAATTCAGGACATGTAAAGACTGAATTGCAGGTTTCTAAAGAACAAAAGGTGAAGAATCAAACCAAGTGGATAAATGACTCACCTCAAATAAATCGGTAACCAACAGCAAAGGTCGGATGAAGACTACCGAAGCAATATCAAATAAGATCTCAAGATTAGCCCAAAAAAATTCAATCTTTCAGTCCTATAACGCTATATAGATTCCCCCGACTCTTTTCTTCTTTTCTTTTCTTTTTCTTAAAAAAAATTCTTTGTCGATCTCTTTTTCGTGTATAAAGAGATGCAGAGAACAGGGAAGAACAGTGACAGTTTTTTTATATTTCTTTGGATGATTGGATCCAAAGAAGAATATTACTACACCCAAGTTCCTCAAAGAAAACCGGAAACAAATGAAAAAGAGGAATTTCATTTAATACATCATTTAAAACGGTAATTGACGAGAACTGGAAGACGAATAACAAGCTTAAGAAAAGAGGTGTCTTCGACTGTACGCAAATTCAAAGTCAAACATGCACAAAGCGTACATGTTTGATAAATTTTTGTATCACCAAATGGATTACCAAGATTCGTCAAACCCAATTGAGCTTTCCTAGTTTTAAAAAACAGGGCAATATACGTTATTAATTACTATATTTTAGATTTTATATCTATTTTTGAATTAAACTTTATATTATTTCAATTTTAATATGTAAAAGCTACCGTATCATTAAACCATTAACAATAGAAGACACAATAATTCGATGATGATGTAAAAGCTAATATGTGTTGACATAAAAGCTAAACAAAATTTG